AGATGTAACTATCTGCGATACTGTGGTCACTCTCCATGTAGCATCAATTATGCTAATGCTAGCTGCCTGTCACTTTCTCTTATCCTGGCCACACCTCCACTCTCTAACCCCCTTCCCCTACCCACACCCCCTCCCCTACCCACTTTGATGCATTTTTCAAATTTCGCCTTGCGGCAGAGTTATCTTTTCACGGGGGGTAAGATACACTTTAAAGAGGGGAACCACCACCCCACTCTGCAAATCCAGTGGCACTGCCCCCAATGTCTACACGATGTTGCAAAGGTATGTCAACCAAAACAGTCCCATAACATCCAGAACCTTAAGGAAATCAGGGCGGATCTCATTGACCCCTGGTTCTCTGCCACCGTGGAGCTTTTTAACTACCACAGCAACCTCAGCCCCAGTTATGAACAGAGCAATCCTGAAGTCCTCAAACTCTGCTTCCTTCATGAGATGTAACTATCTGCGATGCTGTGGTCACTCTCCATGTAGCATCAATTATGCTAATGCTAGCTGCCTGTCACGTTCTCTCGTCCTGGCCACACCTCCGCTCTCCAACCCCCCTTCTTCCCCTACCCACTTTGATGCATTTTTCACATTTCGCCTTGGGGCGGAGTTATCTTTTCACAGGGGGGTAAGATACACTTTAAGCAGGTAAATCCCACTGAGATCACAGATGTCTTTAGTAAGAGGCGTGAAGACAGCCTGACATCATGTTCTGGGAGGAAACTGAAGAAACATGAGGACAGAACTCCACACAGAAACGCTGCAGGTCCACACTGGGAATTAACCCAGGCCCTTCATGCTGTGAGGCATCAGTGCTAACCACTGATCCATCGTGCTGCCAAAACAAATATYGATCACCTCCACTTGATTTTAGGACCTTTAACTGGTTTGACAACCTGAAGGTTGACAAATATTAACTGAATTAATTTAAACTCCCAGTGTTGTTTTCTATGTAAGTTAGAGATGAACCCTCTGATAAAAGTTTATTTTGTTTTTTATTTTACTGTTAAGAACAGCACAGTCACTACTAAACTTATTGAAACTTATCATCTAAAAGTCTTTTTAAATCATTCCTAACACCTCCTGAGTTCCTGCCTCTTGATAAAATGATCTTAGTTTTCTGTTTAACTGGACCTGCAGCGTTTATTCAGGGAGATCAGCTTTATTTTTATTATACATAAATAAACGTTTTAACATGGATAACAAATTACTTCATTAAAGTATTTTAATTCCTTAATTTTCATTGGTGTTTTTTAAGTTTGTCTCTTTGTTGTTTCATGAAACCAAATAAAGAGAAACAGCAACTGAAGCCTGAATGTTTAGTGATGAAGACAGGAAGCTGCAGGACTGACCGTCCACAGAGAACTGCACTTTGACCTGACAGAGAGGAGGGGAGCTCAGGACCCTGGCCCCCCGGGTCACACTGGTTCCATCAGCGTAGGTCAGAGTGATGTTTGTGGTGGGAAAGTCCTCCAGCATCAGCTGCAACACGTGCACACCTGTGTGGACTCCTCCTGCGCTGGTCAGCGTGCACGCTGCCTGGAAGGAAAACATTTAAAAAGTTTACTTTTTATTTGGATCCTGATGAAGATCAGATGTTTTCCTGCTGTGGATTCATGAAGTCATAAAGTTTAGGTTTTATGACCGTTTGTTTTAATGTTCATTTCTCCTGGTGTCTCTCTCTGGCTCCGCCCACTCTCACCCAGAGTTGTAAAGTAACGAAGTACAAATACTTCTTTACTGTACTTACGTAGAATTTTTAGGTATCTGTACTTTACTTGAGTATTTTTTTTCAGCCTAATTTTTACTTGTACTTCTTACATTTTTACACAGTCATCTGTACTTTCTACTTATTACATTTTAAAAAATAAGAAGTATAAATTCATTACTCTTATTTCATTACAGCTTGTTGTTAAAAATATTATCCTCCTGGACAGAGTGAGTTTAATTG